CCCGTCAGAAAGTCTCCCGTTCCTATGGAAGGTTTGGTTTTGGATTTGTCATATGGCCTCCAGGAAAGGGGAAGCTTTCCTCTGCCCCAGCTGTAGGCCCACCGCTGATCCCGTTCTCTGTTCACTATAAAACTAACTTCTGCGTGGCTCCGGGGATCTCACATGAACAGAACCATTAAAATATAGGTGCTGCCCCGACCCGGCATGGCTCACTGGTTGAGCATCAATCTGTGAACCCAGGAGGGTCACGGTCCGATTCCCCGGTCGGGAGCACAGGCCCAGGTGGTGGGCTCCATCCCCCACTAGGGGGCGTGCAGGAGGCAGCCGGTCCATGATTCTCTCTCATTATGGATGTTTCTACCTCTTTCTCCCTTCTCCCTTCCTCTCTCTAAAAGCAACAAAACTAAATAAATGCATAAAATTTTTAAAAACCAGACATATGCAAATCATACGTATCCACATGGACACAGATGGAAATAAAAGTCACGGAAGTTCACTGCTGGTTGATGCTGTGACCGAGTTTGTGACTCTGAAGTTTTGTTCAATGACCATGACTTGGTAGAATTTCGTGGAAACTCATTTTGCAAGACATTTGCACTTTCGAGGGGAGGGATCTGCAGTGAGGTACAGAGAACAATGACTCCCAACAAAAGACAGTCTCCAGACACAAGCAGTCCCCCGGCCAAACCAGTGTCAGAACGGGGGCATTCCACATACCCGTCTCGGATGTTCTGAGTGTGTGTGGGCGTGACGAAGGCTCTGAGAATTCTCACCGTAAAGAAATCGTCCACCCTTCGTTTAACCCAGTACTTCTCAATACAGTGGGGCCTTGACTTACGAGTGTCCCGACTAACGAGTCTTTTGAGATACCAGCTGTCTCTCGGCCGATTTTTTGCATTGAGTTGACAGAGTAATTTGAGTTAACAAGCTCCTTAAGGAGCTCGGTCTCAGAACGAATTAAACTCGTAAGCCAAGGCCCCACTGTACATTTGATGAGGAATTTGTTTTTTGGGGGGTGTTTTTGTTTTCTTGTTAATCCTCACCCAATGATATTTTTCCATTGAATTTTAGAGAGAGGGAAAGACAGAGCCCTGGCCGGCTTGGCTCAGTGGATAGAGCGTCGGCCTGCGGACTGGAGGGTCCCAGGTTCGATTCCGGTCAAGGGTTGCGGGCTCGGTCCCCAGTGGGGGGCATGTTGGAGGCAGCTGATCAATGATTCTCTCTCATCATTGATGTTTCTATCTCTCTCTCCTTCTTCCTTCCTCTCTGAAACCAATAAAGAAATATATTAAAAAAAAAAAAAAAAGACAGAGAGAAAACATCAATGTGAGAGAAACTCATCGATTGGTTGCCTCCTATACACGCCCTGAACAGGGCCCGGGCCGGGGAAGAGCCTGCAACCGAGGTACGTGCCCTGACCGGAATCGAACCCGGGACCCTTTGGTCCACAGGCCGACGCTCTATCCACTGAGCCACACCGGCTAGGGCTTGGGTTTTCTGTTCTTTTCTGAGATATGACTGTATTTCACTGTAGGAAATGCCAGTGTTGAGAGCTGCCGGTGACAATGGATGATAATGGTCTCGCTGTGGTGACCCCAGGAGACAAGTATCGGGTGGGAACATGGGCCCGAGATGGATGCTGGGATGCAGAGCGGATCGTGGCCGGGCACGGAAGGGCGGCGTTGCCAAACGACCCCATGGATCTTGGGAATTGCCTGGGCCTTTTCTAATATTCTTTCAAGGTCCTCGCTGAGTCACGGCCGTGAATGATGGAGCATGATGGCTCCAAATATCCCTAACGCCTTCATGTCTGACCGTCTCCCTTTTTAAGCTGCTGATTCACTCCCCTCCGGCGCGCGGGGCCAGACAGAATGGCAGAGTGTCATTTTCCGATCGTAAAAAAAAAAAAAAAAAAATTCTGAAAACCAGCCCACAGCCATGATGGACGACTCTGAGGCACAGATTTCCTGTCGGAAAGTTACCTGGCTGACTCCTCAGGGAGCCCCGGGAACGGCACCTTTCCCTGCCGTTTGCGGACTGTCTTTTAAGGATGATACTCACCACCGTAGAGTTGCCTGCGAGTGAAAAGAAGACCTAAAGCCCGGCTGGTGTGGCTCAGTGGTTGAGCGTCAACCTAGGAATCACGGTTCGATTCCCGGTCAGGGCACATGCACAGGTTGCGGGCTCGATCCCCAGTGTGGGGCGTGCAGGAGGCAGCCGATCCATGATTCTCTCTCCTCATTGATTGTTTCCATCTCTCTCTCCCTCTCCCTTCCTCTCTGAAATCAATAAAAATATATTTTAAAAAAAATAAATAATACAAAGAACAACGGAAGTCTTCGGGCAGAAGAAATCGGCTTTGAAGTCGGAGAGATCTGGGCACAAACCCCAACTCTGCCTTTCGCAGCGTTGAGACTGCGGCTACAGCTCTTCGCACATTTGCATTTCCTCGTGTGAAAATGAGGATCATAATATATCCACTCGGGGTTGTTGTGAGGGTTAGAGGAGATGACATATCATGTGTGTGTGGGGCGGGGGGGTGGAAACTTGTGACAAAGTCAAGTCATTGCACCGTATCCACTCGGCAGAGCCGGAAGCACCCTGGGAACGTACGTGAGGCCATCGCCGTCCCTGCTTCTATTCCAGACAAACAAGTCCTAACCAAAGCCCTCGGTACCTGATGATGCGGGTACGCTTCCTGGTGTACGGGGGGATGACCTCGAAGAGCAGTTCCATGGCTCCATTGATTCCCAGCATGGCTCCCGTGGTGACTGAGAAAGACAAAGGTGCAGTTGGTGTTGAACTATAAGGACCAAGCATTGGGCCCGGCCGGCCGGCGTGGCTCCGTGGTTGAGCGTCTACCTGTAAACCAGGAGGTCACGGTTCGATTCCCCACCAGGGCCCATGCCCGGGTTGTGGGCTCCATCCCTAGTAGGGGGCCTGCAGGAGGCAGCCGATCAAGGATTCTCTCTCATCATGGATGTTTCTATCTCTCTCTCCCCCTCCCTTCCTCTCTGAAGTCAATAAAAAAGATATTAAAAAACACACACACACATACAAATAAATAAAGCAATCTCCTGGCACATAAGTCCGCAAAAGGCTAGGATTAAGTAGAGCTGAGGAGGAGAGGGTGCTGAGAGCATAAATTCTAACATGGAAGACGGGAGACTTGGGAGAGGATAACAATAAGAAATCTTCAACCGACTTCTTCCCAGCTGGAGCCTGGCCCAAGGTCAGACCTCTGACAGCTCTATAAATATCCCCCAACCCCACACCGGCCAGCTCAGCGCTGCCAAAGGGCTCTCTGGCCGCCACCAGCCCTTCTGGTCCCAGCCCATTCCTTCTGCAGGGAGGAGCTGTTGAGAAAGCTGCCGGAACAAGCAACCATGGCGAACCATTCACCGAAGGGAGAGCAAAACATGGGTGTGTGAACTCTGCTTGCCTGCCTTCGGAGAAGGCAATGCGTAGAGCCTGGTCAGATCATTTTTAAAGTGGCTTAGGACACCGTTCGTGGGTACAGTGCATGCAGTCTTAAAGCAGGAGGCAAGCGGCCACCTCCCCACACCCACCAGCGACTCCCAGCAGTTTTCAGAGCTCCCTGCTGAAGGAAGTCTTATATGTAAGAATGAGATGTTTCCAACGGTCGCCGGCAAGCTGCACATGGGGGTGGCACACCTTCTGGCTACTCCTCCGTGAGCGCTCTCCTCTAACCACAGCTTCATCTCTTTGTTTCCCTTTTCCTTTATTAGAGACCAGAGGCCCAGTACATGAAATTCGTGCACAGGGTAGGGGGGAGGGAGAGGAGGGGGGAACGGAGGCTGCCTGCCAGGCCTGCACCCTCTCCAATCTGGGATCCTTCTCGCAATCCGGGTCTACTGGCTCCTAACCGCTCACCTGCCTGCCTGCCTGATCGCCCCTAACCACTCTGCCTGCCTGATCTCCCCTAACTGCTCTCCCCTGCCTGCCTGATCGCCCCTAACCACTCTGCCTGCCTGATCGCCCCTCACTGCTCTCCCCTGCCAGCCTGATCGCCCCTAAGTGCTCCCCTGCTGGCCTGATCGCCCCTAACCACCTCTGCCTCGGCCCCCACCACCGTGGCTTTGTCCGGAAGGACAACCGGAAGATGTCCGGTCGACCCAGTCTAATTAGCATATTATCCTTTTATTATTATAGATGGGTTTGCACAGTTCCTATCAGCCCTTCCCAAATAATCTCTGATTCTCTGCTCAACAAATATGAGTGTGCCCGGCCGGCTGGCATGGCTCAGTGGTTGAACCTCGACCTATGAGCCAGGAGGTCACAGTTCGATTCCCATCAGGGGCAATGGAGAGACACAGCCATTGGTGGCCTCCCGTACAAACCCCCGACCGTGGCCGGGATCGAACCTGCAACCCAGGTGCGTGCCTGGGTGTCCCAGCCCAGGTCTGGAAGCTCCCCACAACTCCCCAAAATGCCACAGGGGAGTCGCTCACCGCTCGAGGCGAACACGCGCAGGGCCCAGAGACAGTGGAGGAGGTTCAGGCTGTGGGACAGGTTCTTCCTGGCGAGAATCAACGTGACGTCGAGTGCTTCCAATTCCAGGGCCTTCTGTCCAAACTTCTTATCTACGAACACAAGTCAATCCCTCTTAGTTGGGTTGCACATTCCTTCTGAAGGTTGCAGGATGGGTGTGTGGGCGAGGAAGGCAAAGGTGACGGTGGGAAGAAGCTAACCGTAGCCGGGAAGCCTCCTCAGATCTGTGGGGAAATGCTGCTGAGTGTGCCCCCACTAGAACCAGATGGCTCAGAAAAGCTAATTCAGGGCTGCACCCAGCCTTTTGCTCCTAAATACTTTCAAGTGCATTTCTTTGGGTTTTTTTTGTTTGTTTTGGTAATCCTCATCTGAGGATATTTTTCCATTGATTTTTATTTATATATATATATATATATATATATATATATATATATATATATATTTATTGATTTCAGAGAGGAAGGAAGAGAGAGAGAGAGAGAGAGAGAGAGAGAGAGAGAGAGAGAGAGAAACATCAATGATGAGAGAGAATCATGGATCGGCTCCCTCCTGCACGCCCCCCACTGAGGATGGAGCCAGCAACCCGGGCATGTGCCCTTGACTGGAATTAAACCCGGGACCATTTAGTCCACGGGCTGACGCTCTATCCAATGAGCCAAAAACAAAAAAAGGGTTTTCTATTGTTTTTTAGAGAGGAGGGAGAAAGAGAGGAAAGACAGAGAGAAAACATCTCGTGTGAGAGAAACACATTGATGGGGGTGCCTCCCTGCACACTCCCTGAACAGGGCCCGGGGTGGGGGAGGAGGCCTCAACCGAGGACGTGCCCATGAGCGGGAACAAATCCGGGAGCTTAGGTTTGCAGGCGGACGCTCTATTCACTGAGCCAAACCAGCTTGGGCTCCAGTGCACTTCTTTGAAGAAAGACATTTTCCCCCATATAGTCACACCACCAGGATTCCAAATCTAACCAAATCAGCAAGGAATGGATAATTTAGACCCATTTGCTTTCCTTCCTTCTCGTGACCTCTTCGATGGGGCTGATCCTGCCATCACCACCCAGGTGTCTGGGACCTCCCTCCGGGCTCCTCCCTGCACGTTCCCACGGGAGCTCCCCCAGTTCCTCTCATCACCACAAACTCGTCATCCGCAGGCCCGGGGCTGTGCGTACCTCGCAGGCCGACCTTGGCCAGCAGTCGGAGGAGGGGCAGGAGGATGCCGTAGTCCGGAGACGCGGTCCTGGCCGTGTCCACCAGGGTCTGCAGGAGGGCTTCGCTGCCCCCCTTGCTGATCAGGTAGTGGATCCGCCTGTCCGTGCCTACGGCGGAAGCAGAGGAGAGCTGAGCCATCGGGAAAATCACTCATTTCCGCAAAGCAAGCGATAGAGCAAGGACTGGTCCGTTTCTCCCCAGAAACCAAAACTGTGTACTTCTTGAATCACCTTGAGTTAAAGTTACGCAATTAGGTAAGGGGCTGGGCTGGGGGAAGGGGTATGAAATATATAAATAATAGAAGAAATAAGTACCTAGGTGTATCACCTTTAGCAGCTGTAAAAACCTGAGCCTACCCCTAGCCTATTTGGCTCAGTGGATAGAGCATCGACCTGCGGACTAAAGGGTCCCGGGTTTGATTCTGGTGAAGGGCACATGCCCGGGTTGCTGGCTCAATCCCCAGTAGGAGGCGTGCAGGAGGCAGGCAATCAATGATTCTCTCTCATCATTGATGTTTCTCTCTCTCTCCCTCTCCCTTCCTCTCTGAAATCAATAAAAAAAAATTTTTTTTTAAATTGAGTCTAGTCCGGCTGGCGTGGCTTAGTGGTTGAGTATCAACCTATGAGCCAGGAGGTCACAGTTCGATTCCCAGTCTGGGCACATGCCCAGGTATGGCGTGTGCAGGAGGCAGCTGATCTATGATTCTCTCTCATCGCTGATGTTTCTTTCTCTTTCTCTCTCTCTCTCTCTCTCTCTCTCTCTCTCTCTCTCTCTCTCTCTCTCTCCCCCCTCTCTCCCTTCCTCTCTGAAATCAATAAAGATATCTTTAAAAACAAAAACAAAAACACCTCCGGGTGAATGGATCTTTCCTCCGGACACTGGAGCCTGAGTCTCTGCGTCGGGGCCGGGCGTTCATTTGGGCCTGGTCTGTGTGATGTTGGTATTTCTTCCTCACGCAGTGTGGCTGGCACACACAGACGTGAAAACCGAGGGGATGTTGCACCGCCCAAGAAGCCGTGTGTGCCAGGACTCGCCACGCGGAGATGAGCTGACAGAGTCATGGCCCCCGTGAACCCGGCTGATGCCAATGCGGTCAATGCCGTCACCTTATCTCTGGACACCTCGGGGCTTACCACGCCGCTAGGTCCAGCTCCGGCCTCGGATTCCCGTCTCCAGGGACCTGGGTTAGGCAGCTGCCAAGACCCGGCTCTAAAATGGGCCACGTGCCCGGCCGGCGTGGCTCAGCGGTTGAGCATCCACCTGTGAACCAGGAGGTCACGGTTCGATCCCCGGTCAGGGCACAGGCCAGGGTTGCGGGCTCAGTCCCCAGTAGGGAGCGTGTAGGAGGCAACCAATCCATGATTCTCTCTCATCATGGATGTTTCTCTCTCTCTCTCTCCCTTCCTCTCTCAAATCAATAAAAATATTTTTTAAATAGCTGGGCTGGATGGCTCAGTGGTTGAGCATCGACCCAGGAACCAAGAGGTCAGAGGTTTGATTCCCAGTCAGGCCACATGCCCGGGGTGGGGGCTCCACCCCCAGTAGGGGGCGTGCAGGAGGCAGCCAACAGGTGATGATTCTCATCATTGATGTTCCTACCTCTCTATCCCTCTCCCTTCCGATCTCTCTAAAAATCAATAAAATGTATATATATTAAAAATAATGATAATAAATAAATAAAATGGGCCACAGTGAGGGGACCAGAGGGAGGAGAGAGGTCAAACAGCTGAGGGCAGCTCTCTCTGAAGAGCTGCAGGCACCCGGAGGTCCTTGGCCTCATCGATGAGCTACCCTAGCGTCACCACCGGGCGTCGAAATCCTCCTAAGTTCAGGTCCCCGTAGGGTGAGTGACAAGATGGAGGAGCCCCATGTCCACCCAGCCCAGGTGTCCCCAGGACCTATGCACCTCAGTGGGGATTCTGTCTCACAGAGAAACGTGAGCTGGAGCAAAACCTGGAGCCCCTCAGATTCCCGGGCGACGCCACGGCCCCAGGGATGCCCCAGGCCAGGGATGGCCACGCGGCCCACTCACCGACGGAGAGCAGCTCCCCGAGGACCTGGAGGATGCTCAGGATGGACGCCCGGTCGGAGGAGCTCTGCAACGAGAACACAAGCGCCTTTTACTCCAAACGCAGGAGGAGGGCTGCGGCGTGGCCGGGCTGTGGGCTTCCTTCCCCTGAGAAAGACTTCGTGCCATAAACAGCGCCCAGCCCGGCCAGCGTGGCTCAGTGGCTGAGCGTCGACCTATGAACCAGGAGGTCACGGTTCAATTCCCGGTCAGGGCACATGCCCGGGTTGTGGGCTCATCCCAGTAGGGGGCGTGCAGGAGGCAGCTGATCCATGATTCTCTCTCATCATTGATGTTTCTCTCTCTCTCTCTCCCTCTCCCATCCTCTTTGAAATCAATAAAAATATATTTTTTAAAAGGCCTAAAGGGGGGCTCCCTAAATCATGACAATGAGGGGGCTCCCATGAGGCTCTGCCTCGCTATGTCCCCTTCAGAGCCCCACCTGGAGGACCCGTTTTGGAGCAGTAAGATGGACAAAAGACTAAGCACTGAGCCCTAACCGGTGTGGCTCAGTGGATAGAGCATGGGCCTGTGGACTGAAAGGTCCCAGTTTCGATTCCGGTCAAGGGCATGTACCTTGGTTGCCGGCACATCCCCAGTAGGGGGTGTGCAGGAGGCAGCTGATCGATGTTTCTCTCTCATCGATATTTCTAACTCTCTATCCCTCTCCCTTCCTCTCTGTAAAAAATCAATAAAATATATTTTTTAGAAAAAAGAGTAAGCACTGAGCCTGGCCAGTGTGGCTCAGTGGTTGAGTGTCTTCGACCTATGAACCAGGAGGTCACAGTTCAATTCCCGGTCAGGGCACATGCCCGCGTTGCAGGCTGGATCCCCAGTAGTGGGTGTGCAGGAGGCACCCGATCCATGATTCTCTCTCCTCACTGATGTTTCTATCTCTCTCTCCCTTTCCCTTCCTGATATCAATACAAATATATATATTAAAAAATGGGCATCGAGCCCACAATCCGGGCATGTGCCCTGACCAGGAATCTAACCTGAGACCCTTCAGTCCGCAGGCCGATGCTCTATCCACTGAGCCAAACCAGCCAGGGCAGGACTCTGGCCCTTTGAAAGTGGTCCCGAAGATGGTTCATAAGAGAAAAGAGAGTCCCGGGAATGGTGTCCCTAATCCACACTGATGTTTCAGGGTCCACCTCCAGCACCCACCCTCCACCCCCCTCCCCAAAAAATTGCATTTCTTCTGAGTAGAGGGAAGGGGTTAAATGATAAAAGCAAGGCTGTGCAACATTGGGTGACATAAGATGCCAGATTCGTTAGTTAATGAGTATAATGCATTAGCTCATTATGAAATATGAGCCATAAAAGGGAAAATAGGGTAGGAAACGAACAGATGAGAGAAAGAGGGAAGAGGGAAACGACTAAAGTAGAAACTGATTAAAAAGAAGAAAAAGATCCAGATTTCATTTCCTTTCATTGGATTATTCATGCAGTCGTCTCGCAAACGTTCAGTGGAAACCATCCGTTAGAGTCGCCAGGCCAGGCCGTCAAGACACAAGTTGCCTGGGAATCGGTGACCTCCTGGCTCATAGGTCAACGCTCAACCACTGAGCCACGCCGGCCGGCCGGGCGCTGGTGACGTTCTTAACCAACCGATGACCAGCTCTGTGGAGCCACCAACCTGTGGACTTCCAGGTGAGTGAAATAATACCTATCCTCACATATGAAAGCTCCTTTTATTTGGATGGTTTGTTATGGAATTTCGACGGGATGGAGAAAGAAGAAAATTCCACACCTCCACGTATCCTCTTCCCCAGCACTATGGGTGGATGTTTTATTTTTTTAAATATATTTGTATTGATTTCTGAGAGGAAGGGAGAGGGAGAGGGAGACAGACACATCCATGATGAGAGAAAATCATCGATCGGCTGCCTCCTGCACGCCCCCTACTGGGGACTGAACCCGCAACCCGGGCAGGTGCCCTTGACCAGGAATCGAACCGTGACCTCCTGGTTCATAGGTGGACGCTCAACCACTGAGCCACGCCAGCTGGGCACAAGCAATATGGCTTTAATAAACAGGAAAGAAATTGATTTCAGAAACAATAGCACCAGCCCACCAAGAGAATCCTGCCCTCCCGCAGGAACTAAGAGACAATATCATCATATAGATGCTGAGCTCAGAATGATCTCAGCTCCGAGCCTGCATGGATCAGCACAAGACTGTTTTTCTTTCAGTGGAAATCATGGCTATCCGTGGAGGGGAAAAAAAAAAAAAGGCCCCACAAACTCTCCACTGGCATTAATTTACGCGCCGCTACATTTACCAATAAATATCTTACACCATTTAGACGCGCCACACCGCGCCGTGATCTCACCCACAGTAATAATAAATGAGCGATTCAAGAAGGCGGATGCGACGGGCCTCGATGTTGCTTTAACGATCCTGTTAAAGGAATCATTGAGTAAATCCCCCGATGAAGACTTTCCCATTAAAAAAAAAAGTGGCTCTGCCAAGTTTACAGGGAGAGGCAGGCAGTCGGAAGAACAAACAGTGTCTTTCACAGTCTGAGGGTGGGAGGGGCGAGTTTGCACTGCGATTTGCTCCAATTCTGGTTCGAATGTGTTGCTCCCTTGCGTGGCAATGTGCGTCTGCTGTGGCCTTCCTCCTCCTGACTCATCATGTGTCAGTAAGACTCTACCCATCACTCAGCCCTTGGAGGCTCATCTCCGGCCACAGCCCACACCCCAGCACTGCGCGTGGCGGCCACATAGGAATAGTCACCGTGGCCCACGCTCACCACGGGTACCGGTGCCTTCAAAGCTTTGCTCATGTTGCTACCACGGCAGGAGTAGGACTCCACCTCCCTTTTCCTTCCCATGAAACTGACTTCTATTTTTTTTTTAATATATATATTTTTTCTTGATTTCAGAGAGGGAGAGAGAGAGAGAGAAACATCCATGATGAGAGAGAATCATGGATAGGCTGCCTCCTGCACGCCCCCTACTGGGGATGGAGCCCGCAACCCGGGCATGTGCCCCGACCGGGAATAGAACCATGACCTCCTGCTTCATAGGCCAATGCTCAACCACTGAGCCACGCAAGCTGGGCATGAAATTCCAATTCTTGGTCCCTAAAGAGTACGTCAGAATCTCTCCCAAATGCATGAGCCAAGAGCACAGGACACGGCTCATAGCCCTAGAAAACCACATTGCCAGGCGGCTTGAACACTCGCTGGAGACGGTCCCCGGTTAAACAAGGGACATTATTCAATTTGAAGTTGGCAATGAATGAGGGAAGGAAGCGCCGATCAGAAAGCTCCCATCACTAAAAATGGTCCCAACGCCAAGCAGGGTGACCAGCGATTCTCCAAGTTCACATAAGAGGGTCCAGGGAGCCCTAACCGGTTTGGCTCAGTGGATAGAGCATCAGCCTTCGGACTGAAAGGTCCCAGGTTCGATTCCGGTCAAGGGCATGTACCTTGGTTGTGGGCACATCCCCAGTGGGGGGTGTGCAGGAGGCAGCTGATCAATGTAACTCTCTCATCGATGTTTCTAACTCTCTATTCCTCTCCCTTCCTCTCTGTAAAAAATCAATAAAAAATATATATATTTTTTTAAAAGGGTCTAGGGCAGGGGTGGGCAAACTTTTTGACTCGAGGGCCACAATGGGTTCTTAAACTGGACCAGAGGGCCGGAACAAAAGCATGGATGGAGTGTTTGTGTGAACTAATATAAATTCAAAGTAAACATCATTACATAAAAGGGTACGGTCTTTTTTTTTTTTAGTTTTATTCATTTCAAACGGGCGGGATCCGGCCCACGGGCCGTAGTTTGCCCACGGCTGGTCTAGGGAGAAGCGGTGTCCTTACAAATTGAGTTCAGGTACAAGGAACAACTTCCTGTCAAGGTTGAAATGAATTCAAGAGAAAGAGGTGTTTTAAGGAGTATGGATGGAGATATCTGTCCATGAAACAAAATGAGATTTGTTTCCATCTGATGGGGGTTGGCGTGGAGACAGTGCGGCTTATAAAAGAAGAAGTTTGCCATCGTTGTGCCAACTGGGTGCTAGGTCCCATGGGCCATGCCTAGGAAAAGCTGAATAATCTAAAAATAGGTCTGAGGCCCGGCCGGTGTGGCTCAGGGGTTGAGCATCCACCTATGAACCAGGAGGTCACGGTTCAATTCCCAGTCAGGGCTCAAGCCCAGGTTGCTGGCTCCATCCCCAGTAGAATACATGCAGGAAGCAGCCGATCCATGATATTCTCCCTCTCTCTCTCTCTCTCTCTCTCTCTCTTTCTCTATTCCTCTCCCTTCCTCTATGAAATCAATAAAAAAAATTTTTTAATAAATAAAAATTTTTAAAAAGAAGTAACACTTCTTAACTCCCAAAGTTAGGCCATAAAAAGCTATGCAGTTCCTGCCTAACCGGCTGGGATCCCGATCTGGAGACCGGAGCCACTTACAGTGTTCGGCAAACTCATTAGTCAGCAGAGCCAAATATCAACAGCACTTCTTCAAAATAGACTCCCACAGGCCGAAAACCGACTTCTGCGCATGGGCCACAAAGTTTCAATCGCACTGTACGTGCGCCCGAGTGTGGTATTTTGTGGAAGAGCCACATTCAAGGGGCCAAAGAGCCGCATGTGGCTCGCGAGCCGCAGTTTGCTGACCACAACACTAGGAGAATGCTGAGGCCCCAGGGCAGCCATGGACCACATGGGAAGACTCGGACGGCACTCAGCCCCACCTAAGCTCTCAACTCCATTGGGGTCCCTCCGCCCCGGCCAACTTCCAGCGCAATCCCATGAGAGACACCAAGCAAGACACACCCTGCCAAGTCCTTTCCAGGTTATGGGGAAAGTCCAACAGCTGTCGTAAGCCACTGAGACTGGGGTCATTTGTTACACAGCAATGGTGACTGAGACACAAACCAATCTCAGAAGCAGACGGATACAAAGAATCAGAACTTAGATTTCCAAACAGTGAATGTGAAATGCATGACGGTGAAAAACAAAAAACAAAAAAACACCAAGGATCTAGACCAACAACCATTTACACGGCAAAATAT